CGGAAACGAAGCGAGGAAGAGCGCCCCCGCGCGCCTGGGCTCGCCATCGCCACCGCCGACCTGCCAGCTGGCGGCCGCTGGGGCGGTGCCGCGGCGGGCCGAGGATAGCAACGCGGTGACGGGGGGCCACTCCGGCGGCTGCAGCGGAGCGATCCGGGCGCCTTTGGGGAGAAGGTCGGTAAGGACTCAACATGTGTTCGACGTTGGGTCTAAATCCTCGCTTCGGCCTCTCACCTCCAAGTCCTCCTCCTCCTCCTCCTCCTCCAACTCCTGCTCCTGCTCCTGCTCCTGCTCCTGCTCCTGCTCCTGCTCCTCCTCCTCCTCCTCCTCCTCCTCCTCCTCCTCCTCCCTCCTCCTTTTCCTCCTCCTCCTCCTCCTCATCATCATCATCCTCTCTTCTCCGCCTTCCTCCTTCCTCCTCCTCCTCCTCCTCCTCTCCTCCTCTCCTCCTCCTCCTCCTCCTCCTCCTCCTCCTCCTCCTCCTCCTCCTCCTCCTCCTCCTCCTCCTCCTCCTCCTCCTCCTCCTCCTCCTCCCTCCCTCCCTCCTCCTCCCGCTATTCCTGTTCCTCCTGCTCCTCCTCCTCCTCCTCCTCCTCCTCCTCCTCCTCCTCCTCCTCCTGTTCTTCTCCTCCTCCTCCTCCTCCTCCTCCTCCTCCTCCTCCTCCTCCTCCTCCCTCCTCCCTCCTCCCTCCTCCCTCCTCCCTCCTCCCTCCTCCTCCTCCCTCCTCCTCCGTGGTTCAAGTGCTGGTTGGACGCGCCACTGATGAGACATGCTGTGGGCAAAGTTTGGCCAGAGCTGGTCCAGCAGTTCGTCGGCTTGGAGGCGCAGCATCGAACTCGGTATGTTAGAGGACCGATCTCAGCTCCCATCCACTACAAGATGGGGGCGCAATGGGAGCTGAGGTCAGCTACGGAGTGGTACCCTCCCATCGGACCCGACGGGATGCAGCACGGCTGGAGCTTCGGGACGGAATCTTTCGAGGCTTTCGACCAGGCAGGGGAGCTCATCGACCGTTTCGTGGAGACCCTCAAGATGCAGCAGTGGCGTGCCGCTGCGCAAGGGTTTTGCGGCGGCGGCATGGATCAGGGAGTCGACAACTTCTCGCTGCGTAAATTTCTGTTCCAGCTCGAGCAGCTGCCAGGATTTGGCCGCAAGCTCTCAGAGCTCATGATGGGCATCGCGGCAGGAGGAGCTTGGCCTGCCGCCAGGAAGAGCGCGCTCGGTTACGATATCCCGAGCGAATGTAGCCGGTGTGGAGGGGGCCCTGAGACCCCCGTCCACATGTTTTGGAAGTGTGAATGTAATAAGGATAGTCCAGCTTTCAGCGCCTCCGACGCTCTCACCCCTCGTGCCTTGAATGAGTTTGAGAGTTTAGAGTGCTATTGGCTGCGAGGCCTCATCCCGTCTCCGATGCTTGAGGTCGATCCGCCGCCAGTCGATGAAGTTTGGATAATCAGCCACGATAGTGAGGAATTTGGTGGTCGCTTTTTCGGGGTAGGCACGCCATGTCTACCCTTGATGATATGGGGGGATGCGTCTGGGGGTGCCGACACTCACTATCCTAGGCTTAGGCGTGTTGGAGTGGCTGTCGCCACGGCTCCCACCGCCGCTCCCTCTCTCAGAGATACGTGTATGGTCCTCTCCCTGGCCGTCACCAGACGGTCCCCAGGGGGAGCTTTTCTGTTGTGGCTGCGGTGGAGCATTCTAGGGACCCTCTTGCCTACATTACAGACAACGATGAAGTCTCACGAGGCTTCAGGAGTAGGTTTTTCGAGGCCCCGCAGGGGCCCAATGCGGACCTGGCGGAGGCTGCACGTTGCAATTCGAATGTCGGACCGACACCTTGGCGATTTGTGTGTTCTCAAGGTCCCGTCGCATGTTGACGCTGCTAACTAGGGTTGTGGACAGAGGACTCCCTGGCCACCTTATTGCAGGAAGCGTCTTTGTGGATGCTCTCGCTGGCTCGGCAGCGCGTATTTTCAGTGTCCCAGCCGAGCAGCGAGCGAGGGTTTATCGTGTTGAGGGCGAGGTTCGTCTCATCAGGGAACGGCTCTTGCGGGCCACGTTACTACTACTCAGTCTTACGCCGAGGCGCGTGGACGCATGCAATGCCTACCTACGGAAAATGCCCAATCAAATTTGCTGTGCACACCGGTGCGCCCGTCCATCCGGGCGGCCTCCTTCTGCAACATCGTCGTCCATTCATTCCGGGGCCTCCCCACCACGCGGACATATCGCTGTACTGCCGGTCCACGTTGGAGGCGTGTAAGGGATGGGAAAACGGCCAGGCGCCCTGCTGCCCCTGCCGCTGCCCCCCCTCCCACTCCTTCTGTGGTCGCCCTTTTTAAATTCCTGTCACACTGTGGATTCGACTGGGAAAAGATGCTCGCGTTGCCACAGCTCTTGTTCCGAGAAGAATAAGGCGAGTTGGCTATCATCGGAGTGTTTTTCTCTAGTTAGGGCGAATGAGCATAATTCAAGTGTCCCTCACGGGTGTCGGTTACATCTCGCGGGGGGTGGGTCCGTCAGTCTCACTGCATGGTCCACCACGTGCTCCTTGATTTGTGGTTTTGCAAGGATTGCGGATGCTATGGCCGCCTCCAGTTGCGTGGCCTGGCGGATTCTTGCACTGCCCATTTGAATCCCCCACTCCCGCTCACAAAATCGAGGAGGGGGTATTTAGATAGGATGTCACGGAATATCTGGCCCAAAGTTCTCAGCAAGGCTGAGAAGGCGGCTCGGGCTCTCATCTAATTATGTAGGTTTTCGGGTTACGTAGTGGGGCCCCCAGTGTGTGTGTGTATGTGTGTGTGTGTGTGCGCGTGCGCGTGCGTGTGCGTGTGCGTGTGCGTGTGCGTGTGCGTGTGCGTGTGCGTGTGCGTGTGCGTGTGCGTGTGCGTGTGCGTGTGCGTGTGCATGTGCATGTGCGTGTGCGTGTGCGTGTGCGTGTGCGTGTGCATGTGCATGTGCGCGTGCGCGTGCGCGTGTGCGTGTGCGTGTGCGTGTGCGCGTGCGCGTGCGCGTGCACGTGTGCACGTGTGAACGTGTGAACGCGTGTGCGCGTGTGCGCGTGTGCGCGCGTGTGCGCGTGTGCGCATGTGCGCGTGTGCGCGTGTGCGCGTGTGCGCGTGTGCGCGTGTGCGCGTGTGCGCGTGTGCGCGTGTGCGCGTGTGCGCGTGTGCGCGTGTGCGCGTGTGCGCGTGTGCGCGTGTGTGCGTGTCGCGTGTGCGCGTGTGCGCGTGTGTGTGCGCGTGTGCGCGTGTGCGCGTGTGCGCGCGTGTGCGCGTGTGCGCGTGTGCGCGTGTGCGCGTGTGCGCGTGTGCGCGTGTGCGCGTGTGCGCGTGTGCGCGTGTGCGCGTGTGCGCGTGTGCGCGTGTGCGCGTGTGGCGCGTGTGCGCGTGTGCGCGTGTGCGCGTGTGCGCGTGTGCGCGTGTGCGCGTGTGCGTGTGTGGCGTGTGTGGCGTGTGTGGCGTGTGTGTGCGTGTGTGCGTGTGTGCTGTGTGTGCGTGTGTGCCTGTGTGCGTGTGTGCGTGTGTGCGTGTGTGCGTGTGTGCGTGTGTGCGTGTGCGTGTGTGCGTGTGTGCGTGTGCGCGTGTGTGCGTGTGTGCGTGTGTGCTTGTGTGCGTGTGTGCGTGTGTGCGTGTGTGCGTGTGTGCGCGTGTGCGCGTGTGCGTGTGTGCGTGTGTGCGCGTGTGCGCGTGTGCGCGTGTGCGCGCGTGTGCGCGTGCGCGCGTGCGCGCGTGCGCGCGCGCGTGCGCGCGTGTGGGCGTGTGGGCATGTGGGCGTGTGGGCGTGTGGGCGTGTGGGCGTGTGGGCGTGTGTGTGTGTGTGTGTGTATATGTGTGTGCGTGCGTGCGTGCGTGCGTGCGTGCGGCGGTTCGGTCGGCGGAGCGGGGTGCGCGCGCCGCGCCGGCGCCCGCGCGCGCCCGTGCTTCTACTACTTCTAGGGCCGCCGCACCCGCACCGCGCGCCCGTGCTTCTACTACTTCTAGGACTGCTTCCCCCTCCTCCGCTGTTGCTGCTTTGACATTGTCATCGATATCGTCTCGTCTCGTCTCATCCCTCCTCCTCCGCCCTCCTCCCTCATCCTCCCTCCTCCAACCTCCTCCTCCCTCCTCCTCCCTCCTCCTCCTTCCCTCTTCGCCTTCTACTCCCTCCTCGCCTCCTCCTCCTCTCCTCCTCATCCTCCCTCCAGCTCGCTCCTCCGCTCCTCTTCCTCCGCCTCCTCCTCCTCCTCCTTCTCTCTCTCTCTCCTCCTTCCTCCCTTCTCCATCCCCCCTCCTCCTCCCACCTCCTCTTTCCTCCGCCTCCCTCCCCCTCCTCCTGCTGCTCCTCCTCCTCCGCCACCTCCTCCTCCTCCTCCTCCACCTCCTCCGTCTCGTTTTTCCTCCTCCTCCTCCTCCTCCTCCTCCACCTCCTCTTCCTTCTCCTCCTCCTCCTCCTTCTCCTCCTCCTCCTCCTCCTCCTCCTCCTCCTCCTCCTCTCCTCCTCCGTCCTCCTCCTCCTCGTCCTCCTCCTCCTCCCTCCTCCCTTCCCCCCCATCCTCCCTCCTCCCTCCTCCCTTCTCCCTCCTCCTCCTCCCTCCCCTTCCTCCCTCCACCCTCCTCCCTCCTCCGTCCTCCTTCCTCCCTCCTCCCTCCTTCTCCCTCTCTCCGCCTCCTCCTCCTTATTCTCCTCCTCCTCCTCCTCCTCCTCCTCCTCCTCCGCCTCCTCTTCCTCCTCTTCCGCCTCCTCCTCCTCCTCCTCCTCCTCCGCCCTCCTCCTCCTCCTCCTCTTCCTCCTCCTCCTCCTCCTCCTCCTCCTCCTCCTCCGCCTCCTCCTCCTCCTAGCCGCTTTGGCCCAAGGGGGGCGTGCGGCAGCGCGAGTCAAAGCGGCGCAGCTGCCGCGAGCCATGGCTTAGGCCTGATGCCCACGAGTCTGCGATTCCTGATAGCGGAGAACTTCTTCGGCTCGGACTTCGGGGTGAGGTTCGGCGACTTCTTGGAGGCCGCGCGGGTGGATGATGCCGAGGTCGTCGTCTGCCACTCGGGCTCAGTCGGAGGCGGCGGGCACGCAGCCCAGCCAGGCCCAGCGGAGCACGCAGGAGAAGGCGCCTGCGGACCGCTGGCGATCGCCGCCGAGAAGAGTGAAGGTGGGGGGTCAGTGGCTGCCGAAGCCCCCGCAGCCGGCGAAGATCAGGATCCCGTGGCGCCGTGTGGAGTCGTCCGCGCCTGCTGCGGACAATGTGAAGAGCGCCAAGGTGTTCGAGAAGAAGGCGAAGAAGAGGAAGCAGAAGGACCAGTCTGCTCGGAACCCCTTCGCGAATCTCAAGGGTCACATCGACGGGTCCCAGAAGTGGAAGCTAAAGGATTGCCAACTACAGAAGTGGAAGTGCGAGGACTGCGCCAAGAGGTTGAAGAAGAAGGTGGTGCTCTTTGGCTTCAGGGTGCAGTGCCCCTTCTGCCGCAGGCTGCCGCCGTCCCCCATCAGGGAGAAGCAGATGGCGGCCATCCGCAAGATCAACAGGGAGGAGTTCGAGCGCCAGAGGGCTCTCAGGAAGCAACTGGCGTCGGCCACTGCTGCGAGCCCTTCGACATGTCCAAAGGTGACGGTGCAGAGGGCTCGGAAGAAGAACGCGTTCCTCAAGAAGATCAAGCAGAAGCGCAAGCACATCCAGGGAAAGCAGGCCATGGGGGTGAAGCCCAGCGTGCCACAGGCGGAGGGGGTGATGGTGAAGAAGACGGAGAAGGACAGGCAGCTGGAGGACATCGACGCGATGGCCAGCCAGCAGCAGACGACCAAGGACAACTTGTCGGAGTTGATCGAGTCGCTGCAGCCCGCCCTGCATAAGGGCACGGAGGAGGCGCAAAGCAGCGTGAAGGCCCTCACCCAGCAAGCAGAGAAGACCCTGACCAACACGGAGGAGCGCCTGGTGCGACTCAAGCGTCTGAGGAACCTGGTGGTGGCCAAGTGAACCTCGTGCGTGGATGCGCCCAGGCCCTCGCGGGCCAGAGCCTGAGGGACCGTGGGCCAAATCTCAGGGAGACAGAGCTGGAGCTGCCTGCCGTCCCAGCTTTCCCGTCCCTCCATGGGGCGGGGGACGACCTGGAATTCTCATTGGAGGACTTCCTGGCGGGCAAGAAGCTCCAGTACGCGCTCGAAGCGGCCAGCACGCCTGATGCCCAGCGCATTGCGATGCTGGACATTAAACCGTACGTGTTCAGGCTCTCGCTTGGCCAGGCGCCCCAGCAGTGGGGTGCCAGGGTGGGCTTCTCTTCAGGCATGGCGCTGAGCTGGCTTTGGCCTAGGTTGGGGTGCGTCGCGCGAAGTTTTGCGGGTGCTGGGCATAGGCCTGGCGCCATTCGGGGGCTGGGCATAGGCTCGGCCCCTCAACAATGCAATGACAACTGCTGAGCGTGGGCTTGGCGTGGCCAGCGAGCCAGGGGTCTCTAGGAGAGACTCGTATCATCAGAGCCCTCAGAGCCCTCCTCCTCCTCCTCCTCCTCCTCCTCCTCCTCCTCCTCCTCCTCCCTCCTCCTCCTCCTCCTCCTCCTCCTCCCCCTCCCCCTCCCCCTCCTCCTCCCCCTCCTCCTCCTCCTCCTCCTCCTCCTCCTTTTCTGCTGGGCGCCAGGCTGTCTCAGCGACAGCGGGTGGTGCCGACCTGCGGGCTGCCGAAGTGGAGGCGGCCCATTGCTTTTTCGAGGAGGATCCTCGGATTGAGTTGCCCAGTGCTCCGCCCTCGCGTCGGCGTGGTGCTAGAGAGGCACCTTTTGTCTCGGTGCTCGCGCACCGCGACGAGGGCGACTCAAGTTCAGACGAATGCCTGGGGGAGAAGCAGCTAGCCACGGGGAATCCTCCAGCCAGCTGGAGATGTCTGCTGTGGCCTCCTGCCTTTCCTCACCTGTTCAGGTGTTAGTAACTTGCTGGCCTTGGCCAGCCAGCCTGCTCTAATTGTCTGGCCAGGCACCCTCATTTGATGTTGATGCCGAAAAAAAATCCTCCTCCTCCTCCTCCTCCTCCTCCTCCTCCTCCTCTTCCTCATCCTTCTCCTCCTCCTCCTCATCCTCTTCTGCTTATTATTATTATTATTAGTATTATTCCTCCTCCTCCTCCTCCGCCTCCTCCTTCTCTTCCTCCTTCTCCTCCTCCTCCTCCTCGTCCCCCTCCTCCCCCCTCCTCCTCCTCTTCCTCTTCCTCCTCCTCCTCCACCTCCTCCTCCTCCTTTCGCCTCCTCCCCTCCTCCCCCTCCTCCTCGTCCTCTAGTTATTATTGTGTTGTGTCCTCTTAGACGTATTCTAATGTTTCTGTGTTTTGTTCCTCCTCCCCCTCCTCCTCCCTCCCTCCTCTCTCCCTCCCCCCCCTCCTCCTTCCTCCTCCTCCCTCATCCTCCCCCCCCTCCTCCTCCTCCTCCTCCTCTCCTCCGCCTCCTCCTCCTCCTCCTCCTCCATCCTCCTCCTCCTCTTCCTCTTCCTCCTCCCCCCCTCCTCCTCCTCCTCCTCCTCCTCCTCCTCCTCCTCCTCCTCCTCCTCCTCCTCCTCCTCCTCCTCCAGCTAAAACGAGGACTCAGCACCACACGATGGTCGGGAAAAGCTCAGTTAAGACCAACAGTTCGAATCCTGTAGAACACCAATGCGCGGAGGTGGGCGGGCCACTCCCCAGCCATCTTCGGATGAAAGAGGAACGCAGAGATCAGATATGCAAATGTTATCTGCAGTACATATTACATGAAGAACAACAATAAGTCCGTGGAAAGATAAAGATAGAGACAGAGAGAGAGGGAGGAATAAAGAAAGAAACTGTAGAAGGCGAGGGGAAACAGCAGACAGTGCATGAGCAGTAGGATGGGAAGAAGGTGTGGGGAGGAACGGAGAGAGGGAGGAAGAGACACCGGGGCGAGGAGTAGGAGGATGGAGACAATGAGGGGGAGGTCGTCGTCGTCCTCGGACCTCCAACGTCGCGCATCTTGCGCCGTGGGCAGGCCCCGCAGCTCCCCACCCCTGGGACCAGGAGGTCGACCTTCGTCGTCTTGCCATCGCTCGGGCGTCCATTCCCCGTGCATTGTTCGGTGTTGCGCGTGGCTTGTTGCTGGATGGTCCAGGATGCTCCTCGATTGTCCTCGCTGGGAAAAACAGAGCACACGTCCGAGCGATGCCAAGCCGTGGACGGCTCCACTCAGTACCATTGTCTGTCGCGGGCCCCCAGGAGCCCGAGAGGACGGGAGCCACGGCAGGCTCTCCTCCGCGACGCCGGAGGTCCTGGCCTTGGGAGCCCTCCTCGGGACTTGGGCCGCGGGCCTGCCCGAGACCCCCGCGCTCCCACAGGGGGCTCCGACGCGAGCCCGGCCGCGGCGACGAGGAGCCGGGGCCGGAGCAGAGGGGTCGGAGTGCCTCGCGCCGCACCGCCGAGGCCTCGGCGACGGCGGGAGGGAGGAGAGAGGGCTCCAAATCGCGCCGCACCGCCGGTGCATCGTCGATGCGGCGCCGACCCGGGATTTGGGTCGGGCACGTTCCCCCCTACAGGCGCGTGTGGAACATTCGGAAATTCTGGACACCCAAGAAATCTTGGAACCTTAGCTGCCCCGATACGCAACACGCAACACGTAGCGCATTGATACGGAGCTCAACACGTAGGCTGAAAACGTAGGCCCGACGCGATACATTCGCCAAAACGTGGCCCAATACGTGGAGCCAACACGCAACGTATTGACACGGACGTCTTGAACACGGGACGTATTGCGTATCAAAACGGGCGTATCGAGGCAGCTAAGCTTGGAACGTACCATTCTCATGACGACTTGTTCCTCTACTTGTCGCCGCCGGGCGCCGTCGCGGCAGGCGCTCATCTGGCGGCGGCACGGCTCGCGCGAGCCGGGCGGGGACGGGCGGGGGGGACACCGGCCGCGACGGCGCGTGGACCCTGGTCTGGCGAGCAGATCGGCGAGAGGCCCCCGAAGGGAAAACCCCACGCTCCCATCGGGGGGACGCAAAAGTTGTGGGGGTTGGGAGGAGGATCGCTCTAAACGGGTCCTGAAGGAAGGAACTGTGAGCATCCAGCTGGGATGCCCCCCCCTCTACGAAACCAAATTGCACGAGGAAAGCCCCCCGCACCCAGATCTCCGAGGATACGACCTACAATCTGTGCAATCCCGGCGTTTGTCCTCGATATCTCCGCCTCAGGTGCCGGTATACCGATATCCCTCTAGCGGCTTCCACCTCGTTGGGGGCCTCCCGGGAGGCCCCCGAAGGGATGGGGGGCCACATGCGAACCCTACCCCTACCCCCCACGATTTCTGAGGGGGAGGGTGGGGTTCACTCCGCTCGGGAGCTCCCGAATGGAGTGAACCCCACCCTCCCCCTCAGAAATCGTGGGGGGTAGGGGTAGGGTTCGCATGTGGCCCCCTTAAGGGAGAAACCCACGCCCCAGGTGGAAAGGCTTCGGGTGGTTGCCCACAAGCAGCCCGCGCCCCTGTGTGCAGCTGGCGACCCCCGAGAGGCGGCCGTGCGCCGAGGGGGGAGCGTGAGAGGGGGCAGGCCCTCCTCCTCCTCCTCCTCGCCCTCCTCCTCCTCCTCCTCCTTCTCCTCCTCCTCCACCTCCTCCTCCTCCTCCTCCTCCTCCTCGTCCTCCTCCTCGTCCTCCTCCTCCTCCTCCTCCTCCTCCTCCTCGGGAGGCCGGAGGCCTTCGGAACCCTCGGAGAAGGCCAGCCCCCTCCTGCCCCACTCGGCGCGCCGCCGAGAGGTGAAGCCCGACTCCCAGCGCGCGGCGCTGGGCAGTCGGCGACTCTGGAAGGTGTGTGGCTTGCAAGGGGCGCGGCTTGTGACCCACAGCCTGGGGGTGCGGGCGAGGACCTCGGCAGAGCTCTCGGCTGCGCTCCGACGAGGCCCGACGAGGGCAGCGCGGTGCCCCAAAAAACTTCGGACGCAGGAACAAATACGGAAAAGCACGTTGTCCAAAACCGACAGCGGCCGCAATCGGACAGCTGGCCGTCTGTCTCACATGGACAACATCCGCGCGGACACCGACAACGAGTCCTGTTCAACATGAGCAGGGACTGCCGCTGGTCTTCATGCCCGTTCTTTCCGTACCATGCCGCTCGCAGCGAAAGACCCAACGGCGCAAATCGCAAGCCACACCCCAGCGTAACCACACCGTCTGTATAACGAACGAACAACACACACATACCCACTAGAATCATCGCGCGGGCTTCGCGCGCGCTCAAGTTCTAGCTAGCTCGAAGGATAGCGCGTAGCGGAGGGAAGAAGAGAGGTCAGCTGTCTGGGAAGCTTTTTGGGCGTCCCGGGAGCGTCGAGGAGGAGGAGGAGGAGGAGGCGGAGGCGGAGGCGGAGGAGGAGGAGGAGGTCTTGCGAGTCACGAGGGGCCTCCTGTTGGGCTTCCCGATCCCAGGTCGAGGCTCCGGCCCTCGGCCCCTGGGCCCGGTGCGCCGAACTACAGTCGGGGCGCTGACCTAAGAAACCCTAAATAAGGAACGAGGCCCCTTTTCTCCAGAAGTTGAACCTCGACTTCCTATCGAGAGCATAAGGAAAACCTGAGGCAAGCTGTGAAACACTTCTTAAGGAACGCGGAGCCCCTCCCCAACGAAAAGGGTTCCTTCTTCAGGGCCCCGACTGTGTAATGAGGGGGGCGGACGGGGCTGCGGGTGCGCATGGTCGGGCGGGGGGCCCCGCTCGCACGGGGAGGGCTTCCCCCACGGATCCGACGACCCGCGCCCCTGCCCACAGCCTCTCCTCCTCCTCCCTCCGACCCTCCCAGGGGGTACAGTCGGGGCGTCGACCTAAGGAACCCTAAGTAAGGAACGAGGCCCCTGTTTCCCATAAGTTCAACCTCGCTTTCGGATGGCAAACCTCAGGAAAACCCGAGGCAAACTTTGAAACAATCAAGGAACACCGAGCCCCTCCCCAGCGAAAAGGGTTCTTTCTTCAGGGCCCCGACCGTGTGGGTGTGTGTGTGTGTGTTGTTCGCTCGTCCTCGGTAGTCGCCGACCCCGCGGCGGCGCTCCCGCGCACGCCGCGCCCGCGCGGCCCCGCGTGGGGGGCGCCGACGGGCCCAGCTTGCCGCGGGAAGGGGCCGGCCTGGGCCGGTGAGGGCGCCGGCGCGGCGTGCTGCGCTGGGGGGGCTGCGTCGATGAGGACGCGGAGGAGCCCAGGAGGAGCGGGAAGGAGGAGGAGGAGGAGGAGGAGGAGGAGGAGGAGGAGGAGGAGGAGGATTGTGCGGATGAGGTCATACATGCAGATGCATGGCACTACGCGAGACGGCTTGCTCGCCGGGAGTTCAGACTCGCATGCGAAAGCAT